AACAAAAAAAACAGTTAATTTGTCTTGGGGTTGACAGCAAGCTTGATCAAATAACTAAAACAAATATAGTAATAAACTTACCTCAAGGAGAAGTACTAAAGAAATGCATTGAACTTGAACATCAACTCACATTTACTTATGAAGATGGAAAATTGAGTGGAAATTATTTGACTCATCGGGCGATTCCTGTCACCGGTGCTACAGGTTTAGTTCTTGCTACCGAAAGGTTTAGTGTTTTACAAGAACTTAACAGTTTGGAAAGTATACAAGCTGTTCTTCTTGATAATACTGCTACAAATACTGGACCGCTTAACCATGCAAGTCTAGCTATTCGCCTTCTCTGTTTGTATATTAGAGACAATCAACCAACTGCTTCTTTAAAAAAAACTTGTATGTTTTATTGTTCAGGGTACGCTCCAGCGTAGTTCGATATAAAAAAATCTTCAAAATTTCACGAATCCCCGCGCCTTATTTTTTCTATTATCACTAGAATAAATAATCTCCCCTTTGATGATGTTAAACATATTGTTAAAAAAAACATTAAAAACAATGCATTGTGCCTAAAACCTGAAAATATTCTTTATGCCATGTTAAAAGATAATGACAGCAAGATACGAAACTTTGGTTTTCAAATCCTACTAGGTCTAAAGCAAAGGTATTTTTTTATAGTAAACTAAAATAAAGTTTTGAAAAAAAATGATACATTAAATGTGGTAATTGGATTTGATTTATATTTATAGAGTAAACAACGAAAGTTTGGAAAAAAAATTCCAGAAATTAATTTTAATGCTAATCATTGGTATGAGTTGGTAGATATCAACATTACTAAATTTACGGAGCTCCCAACAACACAACATTTTTCAGTTGAGGAAATCCAATATGCGATTGACAATAATGTTAAACCTGAAATCCCCGACTTTCCATCTCATTCCCAGAGTGTTGAGTGAGCGGTAAAACTTCTGTCGAACGCATCCCAATATGTTTATGGATTTGAGAATCGACACAGCTGCATTTTAACTAAACTACTAAGCAGGAAGATGCGTAAACCGTATAGTTCAAAAGGGCATTATTCCCATTCTTATGATGATATTTTTTAATTGAAAATATTTTCCTAAAATATATATATCCATAACCAAAATGTTTTAAATTGTAAAAACAATGTTTATTTTGATATTCTTATGTAAATATAAGAATAAAAGTTTCACTATTTAAATCTTCAAATAGTTAACAAGTTGCTATAAATTTAGCTTAATTGTTATAAACTATTATAAACCTTAATCATACAGCAAAGCAAATAGTATTGAAAAACATTTAAATATGAATATAGTTAAAACGTCAAGTTTTGCATATAACGCTTTTTAAGGTGTTTTTTTACATAATCCAACAAATCTTAAAAATTAAATCCGCAAGCGATTCTTCATCCAAAATCTCTCAAATTTTAAGAGTAATCATATTTTAACTGTCTACAACTACTGCAATATTACGCAATATGCGGAATTAAAATCGACCTACCCTAATATATATATATATATATATATATATATATATATATATATATATATATATATATATATATATATATATATATATGTTTATATAAATATGTTTATATAAATATGTTTATATATATATATTTATATATATATATATATATATACATATATACATATGTTTATATATATATATATATATATATATATACATATATACATATGTTTATATATATATATATATATATATATATATATATATATATACCTATATACAAATATATATATATATATATAAATATATATATAAATATATATATATATATATATATATATATATATATATATATATATATATATATATATATATATATATATATACTAGAGTTTCCCATAAACTGTAGTTTTAAATAGCGCGTTAATAAACCAGACCAGAAAAAATATAAAAACTTAATTTTTTTTTTTTTAAAATGATAGACTGCCTGCCCAAACCAAACCTTAGTCGATGTAGCAGCACTCCCTTGCGAGTCAGGCTATTTGTCAGTCGTTGTAGCAGCACTCCCTTGCGAGTCAGGTTAATTGTCAGTCAATGTAGCAGCACTCCGTTGCGAATCAGGCTATAAGATAGTTGATGTAGAAATACTCCCTTGTAGCAGTAGGCTATAAGATAGTTGATGTAGCAACATTTACGCATGTTTTAAATTTTTTTTTTAATAAAACAAAAACAAAAACACCACTAATTGAAAAAAACTTTCTAGTCGTTATTATTGCGGTTTTTTAAAATTTTTTTAAAAAACAATAAAATTTAATGTACTTCCGCATTAATTTAATTGCTTTGACATTTCGACAACAATCAAATACAGCTTAAGAGACGAGGTAATTAAAATTGTAGTTGAAAGAGATTTTTTTTACATTAAAAGACTCTTTTGACTACACTATAAAGATATATATATATATATATATATATATATATATATATATATATATATATATATATATATATATATATAAATATATATATAAATAAATGTTTATATATATATATCAGGAAAGCAAGATGAAGGAAGCGAATTCCAAAGAACTGATGTTCAAGGAAAAAAACTAGACGAATAAAAGTTTTTGGAGCACTTAGGAGCAGTAACAGAAAAAGGATGAGACTTAATTGAATGACAAGTAACACGAGATTGAATTTTAGTAGATAGCACAAGAGACGCTAGCTCTTTAGAGCAGTGCCCATTATAGTATTTGTAGAAAAGAGAAAGAGAAGCAACATTATGACAATGTGACAAAGGTTGAAGGTTGGCTGCAAGAGCAGGTCCAACTATCTTTACAATGCGTTTTTGCATCTTGTCTAAAAGAGAAAGGGCATCATTAGAAGATCCTCCCCAGATATGGCAACAGTATTCCATACAAGGCCGGATTTGAGATTTATAGAGATAGAGAATAGAATCCAGAGTAAGAAAGTGTTGAGCTCAAAAAGGAGATCCAATTTTAGCAGATGCTAATTTTGCAATTTTAGTGAAAAGTTCTTAGCAAACAATTCAGCTTTGTCTTTAGGTAAGGTGACAAAGTCTGAACCATACATAAGAGGTGGAATTACAGACTTGCCCTTATTATTGATACTATTAAAGATTCTCTAGAAGTCACGAGAGCCTAATTTTTGTGATGAAATAGGAGATTTTATGATCTGAGAATAGCGGGCTTTGGCGTTACAAAACCTTTTTACAATGGTTCCTAGCAGTAATAAACAGACTACTGTTTTATGGAGAATTGTTTTGCTAATAGATATGGAAGTAACGGTTTCGATTGGCAATTGCAGCAGCACAATGAGAAGAAAACCACGAAGAAGAGTGAGGCTTGACCTGGAATCTTCGAGTGGGAATAAAGGATTTCATGCAAGCCTGAATCCATGAAGTTATTTAAGAAGCACATTTGTCAACAGGAAGACAAAAAATTTCTAATCAAGGGCCATCACGAAGAAAATCACGGAAAGAGTTCCAGATCTAAAATGATAGGGGGATTCTGATGATAAAGAAAAATGAGATAATAGTTTTAGAGAGATCAAACTGTGATCAGAAGCACCTAAGAGTGAATGCGGAGAAACATTTATTGGGCTATAAAACTGATAGTTTATAACTATCAGTTTTATAGCCCAAGCAATTGCCTTATTACTACTAATAAACCCTAAGCCGTAACAAAGGGCTCCAATGTGTCCTTGGCAATGCACACCAAAAGTACAAACAGGGACACCATCCATGCGCAACATGGCACTGTTAGTATTTTGATATTTTTCAGCTGTTGATGGAATCAACCTCTCTGAGAGCTACCACAGATTTCGGGAAACCTGACTACCAGCCGGCCTCAGAACCATAAAACTGAGTTTTAGAGCTGTACCCTCATTTGGAGATAATAGAATGAGTTGCCTAGTCATAAAAACAGAGACACAAGCAAAACCCACGCATCGAGTCAAGAATATCCAGCATTTAACATCCTAAATTGGAAACAATGTATTAAAAACACATCGGCACCAGCCTAATAGATGAAGAAAGGGTGCGAGGCTGGTCAACAGATAAAATCTATTTACCCCCTAAGTCTTTGCCTAGGAGGCCTTCTACAAGACAGCAGCCTGATGCATTTAACATCTGCCCAAGATGAGTATTTTTATCAAGACACCATTTCTAGCCTTTACTCAACCAAGTGCCCCAAGGAAGGGGGTGTTTTATGTCGGAGTTGGTATCTCCTAGCCTTTGCCTAAAAAGGTATATCCTACAAGGCAGCAGGACATGAAGCAGATTGTACTATATATATATATATATATATATATATATATATATATATATATATATATATATATATATATATATATATATATATATACTATAGCATATTTATATTTGCAATTGCTCACTTTTTTTACTCATCTAAATCAATATAGATTTTTGAGAAAAAGAACAAGAAAACGAAGAATAATGAATGTAACGGTTGACCCATCCCAAACCCTTAGGCTATGTAGCAGCACTCCACTGCGAGTCAGGCTATTTGTCAGTCGATGTATGTACTGAAGCCCCCGGAAGCAGGCTATTTCAGTATGCTCACCTAACTCAGCAGTATAAGGATATATATATATATATATATCTTTTAAAAAAGGTATAAAGCTATTTCTATCTAGATTATTTCTACTCCAGTTAGCAATTGCTCAACATTTTTTATACAAGTAGAACTTTTAGTAGAAATAACTTTGCATACATAATATTGAGCCATCATTTTTTTTAGCCTAACCAGAAGTAATTGTTACTTAGTAGTAACAATCATTTATTAGAAAAAAATTACTAAAGCGACTGTTTGATTGCCGGCCTTGTTTCTATATTTTAAGGTAAGACCTTTGTATCAAATTTTTTTTTGCTGACCTGATGCCGACCTATAAAAGATCGAGGTCTCGTTTTTCCTTATTCCGTGGGTTGCAAATATATAAATTATATTTTTAGGATTTTTATTAAACATAAAAATTACCGATTTTTTCCTTTTGATAAATTGCCATCAGATCTCTTGTTAAATTCTGATAAAATTTCTTTTTTTGTTTTCTTATCCATAGAGTCACTCCAGTTTTTATGATTCGGATCATTAGAGTAATGGTTAGCAATTGATGTTGGATCAGTAGATTGCTGTTGTGAATCACTATCACTGTCATGAGACTTTCTAACAGATTTTGCGATGCTATTTGTTGACGATCTTAATGTATCACTAAAAATGACCGCATGCAATATTTTATATTATGAGATAAATTATAAGGAATATATTTATGGTAATATATGAAATAAAATAACAAATGAAAACAAAGTAAATCAAAAATATGCAGCATATTTAAAAAATTCATTTTCTAACTAGTAAAATTAAAATTGCTAAGGAACTTATTATATTATGTATGCAGTATGTTATGTAAAAATTAAAAGGAAGTAGTGGACAATTGTTTCCATATTTTAACCTTTGTATCGAAAATATATTCAATACAAAAGTTATTTGAAAAAACATAGAAACAACCTTGTTTCTATGTTTTATGGTAAAACCTTTGTATTAAATTTTTTTTGCTGACCTTATGCCAACCACAAGCAGATTGAGGTCGGCAAATTATTGCCAACCTCATTTTTCCTAATTTCGAGGGCTGTAAATTAAGTAGTTCAAGACTCAAATTCCCTCTATGCCTCTGGAAGTACCCCACTTAACCTGTTTTTCCATCTAGTGACCTTATTTAATAAAGTTTGTATTTCAGGGTTTAGGGTTATAAGAGCAAAAAATTTTAAACAAAAAAAATAAATAAATTGTGTAGCCTCCTGTAAAGCCTCGAGGAACCCTATCTTGGGAAAAGAAATATAGGGGAAGCAAATTAAGAATACCCGGCTCAATCAATTTCCCTAGATAATCAACTTTTAAATTTTTAAAACCGCTATTAATTATTACTTATTTATTTTTAATGATAAAAGACAAAAATTAAATAGTCTTTTTCACAAGATATTGATTTATTCAAACTTATTGATGGTGAGGACTTCCTTGAGAAACAAAATTTCAAAAAATTTGAATATTTTATCACTTTTTTCTTAGTAGCATAACTTGATAGCTTTTTGTTAATGATATGTTCACAAGTAACTGAAAGCCCCATGTTGTAGCAGTAGTGAGATCCTTTTCAAGCTCAAATGCCCCCTCCAAGCAATCAGAGAGTGTTCTAATCACAAGAATAAACAGTATTATCACTAACAAATAATGCCATCTTAGATGTAAGAATTTCTGAAATGTAGATTAAAAAAGTATAGGGTTATAGATAGAACCTTGAGTAGGAGATAAAAAGTGTTAGCCTCTCTATATCTATTGCACAATAAAACCTATCAGTTACTACTGTTAACAAACCAGTAGTAGAACAAGAAGAATGGACCACAAGCTGTAGAAGAGTCTGAGCATGTAATACTAATGTCAGGCAATTGATCAAACTGTTTGTCGGCTATCAGGTAGATTATGGCTAGAGGAATCAAGAGATGAGATTGATGAAAAGTTTTTAGCAAACAATTCAGCTTTGACTTTAGGTGAGGAAACAAAATCTGAACAATGCAAGTGAGGTGGAATAACAAATTTGACCTTATTATAGACACAGTTATAGTTTCTCCAGATGCCTCATATGAAATATGAGATTTCATGAACTGAGAACAGTGGGCTTTGGCAATAGACAAAACCTTTTTACAGTGGCTTATAATAATACCATAAAACAGACCTCTGTTTTCTGGAGAACTGTAGCAGCACAATGAGAGGAAAACCAAAGAGAAGAGTGAGGATTGGCTTAAAATCATTGAGAGAGAATAAAAGATTCCATGCCAGCCTGAATCCAAGAAGTTACATAAGAAACACATTTGTCAGCAGGAAAACAAAAGATTTCTACCCAAAGGTCATCACAGTCAGTTTTAAGAGATATGATAGTAGTATATATAGATATAGATGATAGTATATATATATATATATACATTTAATGAGAGAAAATGGTTGTATTTTAAAGGCCCTATAATTTATTTTTCATAAACCTTTCAAAAATCTACATGATATTAACGAAGGAGGTTGGTAGCTTCATACATCATGTTTAGATTCTTTCAACTGATTGTTTCCTCTCATATTATATATATATATATATATATATATATATATATATATATATATATATATATATATATATATATATATATATATATATATATATATATATATATATAATACTATATATGAATTATTATATTTATTATTATTATCATTATATATTTTAAAACTATTTCATAATCAGTTTTTTTAATGTTTTCTTGTCTTACATGATCTTTTTTGTTTATCTATTTTTTATTAACTACAAACTGGTTTTTAATGTCATTCTGTTTAATATTTAAATTTTTATAAGAGATTATTTTACCTTTAATAACTGTTTTACTTTCTTGGTCTATATTTGTGTTTTAGAAAAAATTTCAAGCGGTTTTTTAAGATCATAAAAAATACATTTTTACAATACATTGTAACTTTTGATACAAATACATCTTTTAAACTTTAATTCCATTCAACAGGGTTTTAAAAACTTGACATTTATTTATACTAAATCTAATTTCAATACCTAGTTTGTTTTTTAAAGCATAAAGATCACTATTATATTTTCTCTTGAGATTTTGTTACTTAAGATCATTAAATTTAAAACATCATTTGATAACTTATATGAAGCAGTCAGTTCCCTAATTTATTGAAACACCACTATTCAGTGAATCTAAAAATCTTTGTGAGCCTGACTTTTATTTGTAAAAATAATATTTACGATCCATATTCTGACCCACACTATATTACACCACACCATAATACATCACACTATATTGGTTTTGTAGTTTATCCTCTGCCAGCTAATTGCCTTGTGGAGGCCACATTACGAAGGTCTGCAGAGACTTGTTTCGGCTCCCAAGGGAGCATCATAACCTGCTCTACAGACCAAGAGTAAGGTGAGTTTGGAAAGAATGAAGATATGTTAGAGTGAAAGGCAGAAGTAGTTGGGTTAGAAAGATAGCATAGAGATAGCGGACAGATTTGCACACGATATTAGAAGGTGCAATAGTGCTGTTAGTTGATCCAACAAAGAATTGTAGAGTTCACTTAACTTGAACTCTTCCTAAACTTTCTTTGTTGTCCTATTTACACTATACATCACACTATCCCATTTACATACATCACACTATCCCATTTACACTATACATCACACTATATTATGACCCACACTATATTATGACCCACACTATATTATATCACGCTATATTACAGAAATCTTCTGTAATCATAAAACTATTCAACATTTGTTGAATAGTTTTATGATTACAGAAGATTTCTGTTCTAAAACATTTGATTCAAATTTTTAATATTTTGAGGCACAAGGGATATATAAAAATAACTTGAGTTAATTAACATTATTTTTGTTTACTTTCAAAGAGGATTAGCTTTTAGATTTGATAAAGATTATTTTTTATTAAATAAGTTTCATTTGTTACTAATTATCTAAAATAAAAATTTTATTACTATGATTCTATGTGTTTTATTTGAAAAAATAGTTTGATCACTTCTTTAACTTGATGCCAATAGTTTTTTTAAAAACTCAATTGGATTTGTAAGTGCTACTTGTTTTTGCAGTTATGATTTAATAATTACTGTTACTTGTACACTTTGTTTTCCTTTTGGAAGACTTCTTAAGAAGAAAACTCTGATCAATAAAGAACTAAACTAGGTTTATTTTATTTTTTATTTTTGTTGACTTTTCTCTCTCTAGAAAATAATAATAAAAAAAAAATTAATGTAGACAGTTATATCTGATCGTGGTATGTAAGAGCCATTGCAATCAACACATCCATCAATATAAATGGTTAGAAAATAAATTTCTTCCACTCACCCACAAGTCTCATAGATACTTGTGAATAAACAATTTATTTGGCCAGATTTAACAAACTCTATATTTTAAAGTGTCTCTGAATTGGATAAAGGAATATGTCAATTACGTTGACAAATAATCCAAGCACCTAAATGTGCATCAAGCACAACCACATGAAAACTTCTGAGGACAAAAGGTTTACAAGGGAGATTGGTAAGCTTAAGCAGAACTGACTAAAAAACATACTAAAGCAGAACAAGTTTTGATCACATTAAACTAAAACTACCAGAAATTGATATTTACAGTCACTTATAAAAGTTGTCAAAGCAAAATTAAGATTGCAGATGATTGTGTTGTTTCATATAATTGCAGATGATTGTATTGTTTCATATAAGTAATAACTGATTTTGATTAAAAGATAAATAAATTCATTACAAGTCAAAGAAAAATAAATTTTTTAATCACCATGCAACACAAAAAAAAAATATTTCTATTTTTTCTCTCTTCTAACAATTTCAATGAACTTTTCATTGCTGAGGAATTTCAACATCCCATTTAATGTTAACATTAAATGAGACAAAAAATTATTAACCTAATTCTACATTAAAAAACAACAACAACATATTCAACTCAAATATTTAAAAAAATGAATTTAAAAAAAAATAACATATTAAACTCAAATAATCTCAATACTGAATTTTAAAAAAGATAACATATTTAACTCAAATAATCTTAAAACTGAATTAAATTTTATCAATAGGAACAAGTCATTTTTTATAAAATGTAAATTTTCCAACATCTGATAAAAATCTAAATTTATTATTTACTAAATCGCAATAATGAAAATCTAAGATATAGCAAGGACTAACCCCTAGCAGCATCATGCATAAACATTCTAGTATGATATGGGAATATACAACTCAAAACAATCATTTCTCTAACCACCTATGTATTTAACTATATATATAACTATGTATATATATAACTATGCTTAAAGTGATTTTAGTGATTGCTAAAGGCCAATTTGAGCTTATTTATAAAATTTAAAGATTTTATTAGCAAAAACCTATTCATAACAAATATTGTGGATGGTATGAATCTTGTATAGCAAATAAGTTATCAACAAACATCATAAACAAGAGAAAAATGGAATACCTAAAAATATGCAAAAGATTAATTAAGCAAATGCGATTTGATTTTTTGGTTAATAAAATAAACTTTCATATGTTAAATTATAACAAAAATCAAATTCAAGCTTATTGCAAGACAAATATTACTACACAGGAACAGTGAAAATGCAAACGCAATAGTGAAAATATTTAACCCGATCAATCTTTATGAATGATAAAAGAAAATATTTTTCCTAGAATATATTTTTTATAAATAGCATTATTACACAAAATATAAAAGTAATAATTATTTAAAAATCAATTGGAATTAATAGGGTCAGTTCATACATTCTATACAACAGTGAAATTTCATTTTGTGCATCGTTAAAAAAAATCTTCATGAAAAGCTTCAATTCAAGTTCATTATTGAGTTAACAAGCTCTATGGTAAGTATAACTTTAATTATAATTACATGATGGAACATCTAAGAACTAATAAATCTACCACTAACAAGAACATGGTTCTAAAAAGAATTTTTGAAATAAAATTGTTAGTGTCAAGATTTTAATACAGTGTTACATAATAAACTTTAAGCCATCATTTAACTGGTCTTATGAAAGTATTTAACACTGTATTGAATTTTCATTGGTTTAAACAATAAATTTACTTCATAGATAAAATCATTCTTGTTTATAGACACCAACAAGTAGTACTTAGTGGAAACAAGTCAGAATAATATATGAGATGAAGTACTATAAGGATCAGTACTTGAACTGCTTCTATTCTCAATGTTAATTGAGAATAGAAGCCTTTCTTGTTAACTTTTTTATGTAATAAAAGTATGCACTGATGGCACAAACACTCTTGCAGAGCAGGACAAAAAGAAGATACAGAGAACTTAATCAGAAAACAATATGTATAATTTTTTTCAACTAGTACATAAAAAAATCTTTATAAATACAATTTACCCTTTTTTTGAAGATGGTGCTAAAGTACTTGGTGAGCGCAAAAGCCTTTCATTGCTTTCATCATTTTGAAGTAAAGACATCTCAAAACTGCTTATTTTCTGACCAGGTTTAGTTGTTACTAAAGATAAAATATGTGCTTTCATATTATTTAAAGATACTAACTCTAAAGTACTGAAAAACTCTTTTAATCTAACTATATATTTTATTGAAATTAAAAAAACGCTATGACATCATACTAAAATAAAGATCTGTGAAATCTTCAGCACATTCAAACTCTTTTTGCAGACACTAACACAATTTACACACACACACACACACACACACACACACACACACACACACACACACACACACACACACACACACACACACATATACACACACACAGACAAAAACAAATGAATATATAATCCACAAAAAATCAATGAGGGAAAGTGATAGGAAGATGCAAACAGTTTATTAAAAAATGAAAACTAAAGTTAAAAAAAAATTATATATGAATTTATTCAATTTCATATATTAAATACTTTTATATAAAAATTATAATGAATTTTTACGTACTATATTTTTTTTTGTTTTTGAAATGATAACAGCAGCAAATTGTAATAAGCAGTATTACAAGTAGCAAAGAAATAGCAACAACAAATATAAACCAAATTTCTCTGTAAAATGGTTTTTCCAAACCACTACTTTTAACTAGAAACAAAACTTTTGGTATAAAATATATTTTTGAAAATAATAATTATATCAATAAAAAAATCATCACCATCATAATAATGTTTACACTATTAAAGACACTTTCATAGAAAAATAAGCTGCCGCAGAAATTACCTGGTGTAATAGGTTTTGACGGATTACTATAAGGTGATGTGCCTAATACAGTAGTAGATCTAACACGAAACCTGTATGTTCTTTCTTGTTTTAAACCAATTATAGTATAGACTACAGCTGTTCCATCATAACGTAATTGATCAGGTGTAACAGTTTTAAAGTCAGTCCATAAGCCATTTTCTAAATAAAATGAATAATTAAGAAGTCTAAGAAGATTGTTGAGATACTATTTAATAGATAGTTGATAAGATAATAAAATCTCTTTGTAAAAAAATAATAAAAAATAAACAAAATAAACTAAAAAGTATATAAAACTGTATCATTTAATAATTTATTAATTGATAAAATGCTTTTTCAATGTATCATGCACTTTTTTAGTAATAAATATGTTATTTACTTTTTCAGCCTTTGGAATTAGGGTCAGTGTTTGGCACGACTGACCTAGAAGTGTTTGGAATTGGGAAAAAATTGCCAACTTCATTTCTATGTTTAATGGCAAAACATTTGAAACTAATTTTTTTGCCAACCTGATGCCTCTATAAGATTAAGATTGGCAAATTGCTGACGAAATTTTTTCTAATTTTAAGTAATGCTAACTACTATTTTAACCTACAGAACAAAAACTAAAATCATTTTGCAATTTAAAAATAAAATTGTGGCAGGCAAAAATTGAAAGTTTATAAAATACAATTTTAAAAAAAAGCAATAGTTTGTAAAAGTCCTCATTTGACACCTTTATAATAAATGTTAAAACTAAAAACTAAAAAAATTCTAGACTTACTATGTTAAGCTTTTGATTTTCTAATTACCAGGTAATAATAAATATTTATGTAATTTTTTAAGAAAATGTTGTGAATTGATAAAAAAGAAATTATGGAAAAATTGTGAAAAATATCAAGTAAAAATAATAAATTATGCTTAAAATGAAGTTAAAATCTTTTTAGTGGTAGTACGAAATAAAACTATACAGGCATTTAAGTTATGTAGGTTAATTTATAATTACTGGAAAGAATAACACACACACACACACACACACACACACACACACACACACACACACACACACACACACATATATATATGTATGTATATATTTGTGTATTGTGTATATATATATATATGTATGCATATATTTGTGTATCTGTGTATGGATGTATTTATGTATGTATGCTTGTATATATATGGGTGTGTATGTAATGTTAGTATGTTGTGTGTATACACTGGTATGGGTATGTATGTGCCAGTAGTCTATGTATACTAGACTACTGGCACATACACTAGAGTCTAATTGAGTTGTTACAAAAAGTATAGGCAAAAACAATTATTTCTGAGACAACAAGTATACTCTGGTGTGTGAATAATTCGAATTTTAGTTAAAACTCTGTTTGGGAAAGTTATTTGATTGATTGTTACAATCAACATAAATTTGGTGAACCTTCTAAACCAAGAAAATTTATCAGCTCTACCAGTTTAACAAATGATTACTGATAAAACCGGTTGATATATAAAAAACAAAAAACAAAAAAATCAGAAAAAATAACAACAAGAAAACATTAAAGCTCTATATCAAACCAGCAAAATCATTTCAGTCAGCTTGATTGGTTTCTTGGTGACAAGACATTGCGGTCTTTTACAAGTTTTCTGTTTCTTTACTATGCTATCTTTATTTTCTAACAATATCTTTATTTGTAATTAATTTAAATTAATGTAAGATAACTTGATAATAATAAAAAAAATTAAACAAAGTCATTTTATACTACATAAACTATATATGGAAATTAAAATTTTATTTATAAACAAAGCACAACATTTTATTTGAAAAAAACTAACTTTACTGAATGTGATTTTTTGTGCATTTATCAGAATTAGTCACAACTTTATTTACCATGAAATAGTCACAACTTTATTTACTATGTTAATGAAATATTAACAAACCTAAGCTATATTGAAGATTAAATAAATCAGCAGGTATATTTCTTGTATCTCCTTCTTGCCATTGAATTATAAGCACACCAGGTTGATTTTTATAAACTTCTGGGGCATCAGGAGGACCAGGCGCTTGAGGTGGATCTATTTAAATTGAATCAAAATTAAAAAAGTAAAACTAATGTTTTATATATTTTTATTATTTTGAATTTTTAAAATTTTACATTTTTTGATTTTAAAATAAAAGAATTAAAAAGAAAAATTAAGGTATATTGATAGGCAGACAAAGAAATTATACAATAAATAATTGACATAGAACACTTACTCAGTATTTCTTTTGTGTTAAATTCTATTGTAGCATTAAGACCATAACCAACTTCAGTTCTAGCCGATAAGGACAAAAGATAAGATGTTAGAGGCCTCAAATTTGAGATGCGAATACGTCGAGTGTGTTTATTATAACCTACTGTTGTAAAAAATCCTCCGTTTTTCTCCTTGTATTGAACTCTATAGCCAAGCACTTGACCATTTGGTTCACATGGTGCAGCAAAATCAACATCAATCAAACTTGTATAAATTCTTTGGGACAATAAATAAGGTGGCCCAGGAACTGAAAATTATCAAGAAATATTTATATATCTATATCTATATACATATATATATATATATCTATATCTATATCTATATCTATATCTATATCTATATATATATATATATATATATATATATATATATATATATATATATATATATATATATATATATATATATATATATATATATATATATATATATATATATATATATATCGGAATTAGACTTGGCATTCCGCAATGCCGAACTAACTGCCAACCTAAAAGTGTTTGAGATTGGCAAAAAATTGCTGACCTTGTTTTAAAGTTTTATAGTAAGACCTAATATAATAAATAAGGCGGCCTGACTTTCAAATAAAAGGTAAAAAATTTGAATCTAAAAAATAATTGATTATAAAGAATGTATAATAAATAATATAATATATAGTATCTACAATAAATACAATAAATTTATTAATAAACAAACAATAAAAAGTGGGAGAAGACTGGGAACGGGGATTTTAAAAAAAGAAGGGAAAGATCAAATTTTAAATTTTTGGCGTACATGCACTTTATGGATGACCACTCTAAAAGAGCTTATATCAATTTTTTAAATTTATGAGCTACTGGAAAACACAATTATTATTATGTTATTGTACATTAACCAAACACAACTTACTATCAGATGGAGTAGTAAACTGAATAGAAGAACTTTTAGGTCCATCACTAAAAGAATTATAAACTCGAACTGTTATTGCATAACTGGTATACTTGCGCAAATTTTTAATTGTTACTTCATATGAGAATGGACCTGCAAGATGTGTTTGTACAGCAGGAAATTCTTGGCATACAGCATCTAAAGACCGCTTTGACTTAACAGCAACTAAAAATCGCTTTGACCTCTGAACAATACTTCTACGTCGACGATTTAAGCCTATTCGAGTAGATTCAACCTAATTAAAAAATACTTTTAAAATTAAAAAAAAAAAAAATTAGTAAAAAATTTGAAAATGGAAAATTTGTTCTAAATTAAAACAGCATGAATGTCACATATTGTGTGTATGTATGTAAATATGTCATAACAACTTAAGTGACATGACTAAAACCTTCAGATAATGTACATACATATGTTTAGTACATTTAGCACATAAGGCTAAAATAGCATTTTAAAGCATTCAAGTGCTAAAGCAAAATAAAAATAATTTGTTTTTTTTTGTAACATTAAATTCATAATTTTGATGAAATATCTAAGAAAATACTTTTTATAAACTCCTATAAAATAATAAAAGAAACACCAAACCTTAAAACCCTGCAAATAACCTCTAATTGAATCTGCTGCTGGAGATTCCCAGGTCACTCGAACAATACTAGCCCCTTGGAAATTTACTTTGACATTTCGAGGAGCTTCAGTTGGAGCTATTTAATAAAAGAAAAAATATTTTTTTTAAACAATACCAACCGGTTCAAAACATTGTTGCAATTAATTTTTTTAAAAAAACATCTTTATTTTATAAAATTTATCTAAATCCATATGGCAAAAAGTTAAAAATTTTAACCCATTTAACATTTGCTAATAAACATTTTCAGAATAAGTTCTGAAAGCAGTTATATTTTAGTAGAATTAAATAAAATCTTTTTATGAATTTTCTTTAAAAATATCTAATTCATTTAAAATAAACTAAAACTTGTAAAAAATTTGAACAACAAAATTTATATTGTTAAACTAATCCAAAATTTTACCAGCTTCTCCTGTTCTCCATTGATACACTGGTGTCCAAACTCCAATATTTTGATCAGTAAATGCACCAATCCTTACATCATATGCTTGGAACACTTTGAGATTTGTTAACTTGAAAGAAAGTTGTGAACTACTTACACTCATCTCTTTCTCATCATCAACTCCACCAACCTCTTTGAATCCCACTCTATAACCACGCAATTCTTGCAATGAAGTTGATGAAATTGGCGGCTTATTAAAATAATAAAAATAGAAATAAGAAGTTTATGTAAAAAAAAAGAGCAAGATATAAAAACTTTTAATTAATATTATAGTTTTATTAAATAATACCTCCCAAGCAAATTCAAGAGAAGTTGATGTCTTTCCTGTCACATAAACTTTGGTAGGACCACCTAATGTATCTGGACAAAAAGTAATAACATAACTAAATATAAACAAATGAAAAAATAATAACATAACTAAATATAAACAAATGAAAAAATAATAACTTAACTAAATATAAACAAATGAAGTTAAATATTTATAATTATTTTCAAAAGAACACAAATAAAGCTATATTTGCATATTGTATACACAAGCACATATACAAATTACGCATACACAAAAGCAAACATAAACTAATAATTTTAAAATTTTTTAAAGAAAAATATTTTTTCATTACTTTGCTTTATTAGTAAAATTTATATATTTATTATAATATTTTTTTCTCATTTTATGAAATTTATTTATAACTTGTTTACTTTTATTATGTTTAATTCTATATTATTCTAAATTTCTATATTTCTAAAATTCTATATTATTCTAAATTTGTAAATAGCTTTATAATTATATAACTGTTTTTTTTATCATTAAAAAAATATTTTTATAAAACACAAAAAAATACCTACCAGGACTTTGCGTTATTTGCCGTTTTGTAACATCACTCCAAGGACTATCACCAATATCATTAATAGCCTTGACACGAAATTGGTAAGTACTTGCTGGAAATAATTTAGTTACTTCAGCTTCCTGCATTGATGCAGGCAAATTTATAGTTGGTGGAATTCCAAATTGAAATGTTTTCCAAACACCATAATCTTTAATATATTGAAGATTGTACCCTCTTATTGGTGAATTCCCATCAAAACGTGGTAACCAACTGACTACAATTGACTCAGCTCGTACGTTAGTATGTGGTATAGGAAGGATAACAGGGCTGTCAGGAGCAACTAAATTATAAAAAGTAATTTGAATGAACAAAAAATTCATCTAGTTAATAAAAGAATTGCATAATTTGTACCTATTTTGTGTCAACTGTAAATTTATTTAGAAGACAATATATAAATATAATGCAATATATAAATATAATACATTAGAACACACTAAAATCATTAGAAAACATAAAAATGACAATGCTAAATACTTGATAAATGTAATCAACTAAACTGTGCCAAGCATCCAACAATGAACTAGCCATATAATTCGACAATGAAATCAGCTTTGTGTAACAGTATACTATAAAAGTCACACAACTTTTTCATGCTATCATCAGTAAATATGTTATTAGTGCCAAAAAAACAAAGCTCTGGTTAATAATTATACGATTGTTGATTTTGAACTTTGTGAAGCTAACCAGCAACATTTTAGATTGACAATCTTTACATATCAGGGACTGTCTTTTTTGCTTCTAACATTTTACTTAATAGCTATACAATTGTTGATTTTGAACTTTCAACAAAAGTTAGTGCATTTTTAACATGTAACAAAACATCTTGAAAAATAAACTAACCATTAGTTATTTTTGTTTACATGTTAGTTACTTTTCCAAGGACTGTTAGTAAGCCGGTGAATATTTTTATTACAAGCAACTCAACTGGTTTTCAAACAGTCTAATGAACTCAAGAAATAAAGAAGCAAAAAACTAAGCAAAAAACAAAACAAAATTTCTATGAATAAAACCATACAAATAAGTATTTGGCTCATACAATGTATTTGTATATAAAATAAGTATTTGGCCATACAAATAAGTATTTGGCTCTAATATCACTTCTGATGGTACCCTCACTTTGAAGTGAGGGTACCATCAGAAGTTGTAGCTTTTATGCTTTTTTAATAATTACATTCTTGTAATTTTTATGCCATTTAATATATGGCATAAAAACTACAAGAACGTAAATAAGATTAGTATTTAGAAAAATGGCAGAGAAATATCTCTAGAATAATAAAATATCTTTAGAAATATCTCTGCCATTTTTTCAGGTAATAAGATCACATTTATGTATGAGAGATGAAATGTTAGATTTTCCTTTATTAATGACATTTAAATTTTTTAAATTCTTTAAAACCTAAGAATTAATAAAAGATTTTGAGAATAGATCATACAGCCAAAAAAGTAGAGAGGCTCAAAAATTTTAAAATACAGCACTAATAAAAACGTTGATAGACAAACAATTTAATGCTTTGAGACAGCACCCTTATGTTTAAGCACCAGTTTTAATCTATTCGGCATTGAGCCTCACAGATTTACTAATTTTTGTTACACAATTCAACAGTTATTTCAGTGCACCAAACTCCTTTCAGCAAATACATGAGTTCCTGCATATTCGATTGAGCATGGATTTCCACTTTTTTCCTCATAACCACATAATCAGATTCTCAATTGGATTTAAATCAGGAGAGTTTCCAGGCCAGTCTAGAAGCTTTATTTTATTTTTCTTAAGCCAGGTGGTTATGACTTTTGCGATATGACATTGAGCCGAGTCCTGCTTTAAAATATTACACTACTGTATGGCCATGATGGGTTTCAGCCTGTTTACCAAAATTGCCTTGTACTTGGCTGCATTCAGTTTCCCATTTTGGAATGAAATGTATGCTGCCACAACAAGCAGCAGAAATACATCTCCAAACCATGAACTTTGGTGGATGTTTCATGGTTGGCACAGTGTAACGTGTTTCGTACCTTGCACTAGATGGATGTCTAACTCCAGTGACCCAAACACCAAACTGACAAAACATCAACTCATCACTGAAAAGTACTTTTCCTCACTGGGCAGATGTCCAATGTAGGTGCTTCTTGCAAAATAGCACTTGTTTCTTCCTCTGAACATCATTCAGCAAAAGTTTTTTAGCGGGTGTTCTTCGATGTAACCGGAAGTCATCCACCAGTCGTCAACCAATGGTACGAGCTCTAACTGCAACAGGCAGAGATGCAGCAATTTCAGATGACACAGCCAATGGATTGGTAACTATTGCACGTTTAATGGTATTGTCATGTCAGCTGGTGTTACTGCACCTTCCTGAGCCTTTTCTGCTGTTGCAACTACTCGTTTCTATGAACCTCTATACAATACGACCAACTAGATTTATGAATATCCAATTTCTCAGCAATATTCTGATATGAGATGCCATTATTTATGTTATTATAGCTGTTATTATAGGCAATAAAAACAGATGCTTTTCTTGGAGTAATGTCTTTCGTTTTACCCATTTAAATATAAATAAACTAATCGCTTATAATTAATACTTAATTCAACGCTGTTACTGCCCATTTGTGCGTGTTTACACGAACATTTTTACCATTTATTATAAATAAGATTTAGCATGTTCCTTCTCTTTATACTTTTGAACTCACACGATGAGTTAATCTCAAATCTTAATAATCTGTCAATATCTGCTTAATCAGTAATAAGATCAAAAACTTTCCTTCATCAGCTTAATTAGTGATAAGATCAACATTTTTTTTGCGATAACTTCTGTAGTAAAGGATGAACCTTATGTTATTTTTGAATTAGTAAAGTAACTTTTAAAGTCAGATGATTTATTTAATTCATGCATTATAATAATAACGCAATTCAAGTTCTTTGTCATTTGCATTTAAAGTATATTAATCTGTTATTTTTAAATTAGAAGATGATGATGACTTTAGAAGTCATTGCTCTTTTCAAAGGTCAAGTGGTCAAACTCTTGATAAAGTCAGTGTTTATCTCCAAAATCCTTGCATCTGACACGATCAAATCTATGTTACATGTTAAAGAACAAGATCGTTTAATATCTTTTTACCTTATTTTAAAGAAGTTAAAAAAAATCTACTTGCTTTTATATAAAAACCAGATCATTTGATTTTTGCAAGTTGTTAAACATTTATTACGATGTCATTAAACAAATATTACAAATGTATTTGTAAAGTTTTTAATTTATATTTTTCCTAATTTATATATTCATTTTTATTTGTGTGTTATTTATGTGTTTATATATGTTAAGGTTATATGGGTATATATTTTGTAAGTGTGTAAATATCTTTTATAAATGAATGTTTCTATGTTTGTGATATAATGTTACTTGTTTATAGTTAGTGAGTGGTTATTATTTAGCATGGTTTCAAATTGTTGTCACTTGGCTTAGTTTACAGCATGAGTGTTGACTTTGCTAGCCAAATGGTGTACTTTGCTATAATGTGACTTGGCTTTGTTGGGAGCAAGATTACTGTCCATGCCAGTTAAGTGGTGTACTGTTATGATGAAACACATAAATTAAATCTGTTTGTAGTTATTGTAGTCATAAAACGTGTTGAAAAAATATTATTGAAAGAATGTGTTTATAAGAAATGTTGAAAAGATATATAGTTTTTTATTACCTATAATTTTTTTAATATTTATAATTTTTATTGAACTTTATTTTATTTAATTTACAAATTTGTACTTCATTATATATTTTTTATACTGTTACTTTTTGACTAAATTTATTTATAAGATATATACTCTGTTTTTTTTGTTGTTAACAATTTATGCTTTTTATGATAAATATTGTTAAAGGGATCCCTAAGATCTCAAAACTTAAAGGGATCCCTAAGTGCTCCTAACATATGATCTCATATGAAAGAGCATAAAAAAAAATATGTAAGTTTTTTTTCTTTTTCACTAAATTGTAATAAAAAATGCATGCTAACAAAAAGCAATTGCCAAAATCACTAAAAAACAACTCCATTTTGATTTTATTTTTTCACCATTGAAACTCGATTGTTAGTCGTTAAAAATCACATTAGTACGTCACAACAACTTTATTATATCTACTTCGATTTTCAAGTAAAAAAAAGTCGTGATTAAATAGTTAATTTATAATCAAGTTTTTTTAATTAGTTTTGCAAAAACAGTATAATAGCATTCGGTTGAAAGACGTCGTTAAAAAAAAGTTATTAAGTAATAGGTTTAAATAGTTTAGAGCTTTTAAAAAAGTCTTACAGGGCTCGTATTGAGCGTATCACGATCGCGATTGCTACACACACTTTTGTGATTAGTTTTTTCTTAAAAAAAATCTTTTCGCTACTTGTTTTTTTTTTTGGTTGATTAATTACTTTTTTTCTAGCTTAGCATTTTTTTTTAGCAATTCTTAAAAGTAATGTTTTTATCATAAAGAACGTCACACAAATTTTATTATTCTAAATAGATAGATGAATAGATAATTTGCTCTTTCGCGCGGAGATTTTCTTTCAACGTAAAACATTTTTGAATTTAAATTACTTTAAATCTCTGCGTGGAATATTTTTACAAGGTCGTTAAAGCGAAAAGTTGAAAAGTTGGTTTTTATCTTTGTTTATCAAAACTTCATGTTTAAAATAAGGCTTAAAAAACGTTAGAGCAAAAAAATTACTGACTTTTATTTGCATTTTTATACTGTTTGAAAAAAAAAAAAATTATAAAAAAAATTAATGTATAATTATTAATTAATATATTATTAGTTAATTCTTTTTTATTAGTTTTTTTTTCAAACAGTATAAAAATGCTAATAAAAACCAGCATTTTTTTTACTTTAATGTTTTTAAGCCTTATTTTAAACATGAAGTATAATTCGATTTATTAAACCAAATTTTTTTGTTTTATCTTTTATTGGAAAACTTGAAATAGAAAAATTGAATAAAAACATCAACCATTTAAATGAAAAACTTAATTATATTTAAACTTTTATTAGTCCTTTATTCAAGAAACAATAAATTATAAAAAACGTGGTATCTAATTTTTTATTAAGTTTTTGACGATGTTTTTTGATTTATTGACGATAATTTTTTCCCCCCATTACCGCACATCGACGTGAGCTATAAAAGAGAGAGAGAGGGGGAGGGGAGGGGGAGAGAGAACAAAAAAAAAATTTTTTTTTCGCGATTAGATTTTTTTGCGTTAATTCGAGCCCTGTCTTTTATAAAGTTTAATTTATAATAAAATTCTATTCAACCTTA